GGCATCACACACTCTCAGATGTGTCACCCTGTGCTTTTATCACTGCACTATCACACCCACAGCACGTGATGGATATAAAGGGTTCAGCGGGGTATTCTGCAGGTCTCCAACCAGCAGTGCACATCACGTGTTTGCTCTACTATAGGGCCTCAGAGGGAGGAGCATCCGTCTCACCAATCTACTTTTAATGTGCGTTTATGACCAGATAGAGGTCCTGGGGGTGTCGTGGAGGCGGAGGAGGAACATCCATCCGAGCAGTAAAGAGACTAGAGCCTCCTGTTGCTTTGGGTCGGTTCCATGTCGCAGCAAACAAAGTCACATTCGGCTACTTTTTTATCTTCGGGTGAGGCAGATAAGGTGAAGGCTTTACGGTGAAGGAGAGTTGTGAAAGCTGGGTGAGGGGCATAAGGAGAATGGATTTTCGCTGTAAGTCGGAACGCACAAACTGTACATAACTCCCAATGACACTCACCTACGCTAACACAGCGGTTACATCATAATCCAGGACATATAAACATCGGAAGACTCTGACTTATGCCTGGGAGACATATTGAAATCTTTTGAAAATGTTTTTCTTTTCTTTTTTGGTTTTTATCAACAGCTTTGCATTCTTTGAGTTGAAATACCACCACCTGCTGGGTAGGGGTGAAGAATGTAATAAGAAATCCGCTATATGTCGAATAAAATTGCAAAAAGGATAGAGAGGGCAGCATTATTGCTAATCAAGGCATCACTGTTTTTTTTTTTTGTTCAGTTTTGTTCAGTTACTAAACAGATTTAGTAATTCTTTAAAATTTGTAATATTATGTATTATTATTATTTATATATCACGGATATTTCTACATTTTCAAATATCTCTCCCACTTAAAAATCTATAACATCCCTGGAAAAGAAAAAAAAAATCAATTTCAGCGTTTTCCCCCACACTCTCTCCACTTCTTGATTCTCTCCTCACTCCTCTGACATCAGAGGAGTGAGGAGGGAGGGGAAAAACAGGAATAAAGATGTGGGTCATCACATACAGCACATTCATCCGGCTAAAACAAAATTGTCATCCGTCTGCTTCGCTGGATTTGGAGTTTGAAGGGGAGGAAAGGAAAAAAAAGGTGGAAGAAGCCAGGAGGAGAAATGACTTTGGAAAGAGATGGAGAGAGAGCAGCTGCTGTGCCCTGCTGTATTACCGTCCTCTGTCCGTGTCAGCCTGGGCCTTATTGAATTGATGTCACTCCTTTAAACACCACCGGCTTGAGCTGCTGCTGCCGCTGCTGCTGCCGCTGCTGCTGCTGCTGTGTGCATGTGTGTGAGTGGTTTTTTTCCCATTTTTTCTCTGTATCTGAAAGAACCTGGTGACCTTCCAGAGACTCAAGGAGGATCATGAGACAGGAGGCGTCTCCAGCGGAGGTCAAAGTCATCTCCAGTTCCATTTATATCTGTGTCTTACAGAAATGTCAGGCTGTATTTACGTGTAGGCGCAGTCAGATTGTTGCCCCTCCCCAGACATTAATGGGTTTGACAGACCATTCGACTTCAATTGTTGGTCACACACATCAACACACACTTAAATAATATTATAACAAATGACAATTAAAATAATAATTAAAGGAAATTAGAGTGATGAGCTTGGTCCTGGAACAGATTATGCTTGTACCTCAAGGTATTACTGTATATACATTGTGAATACGCATCTGTGTTTAAACGACAGGGTTTTCTGTATGTCTGCCCTCTTTTGATAAAAATCAACTTTGTGATCTACAGTATATGCTAGGTAACAGTGACATTTATAGATCATTTCACCATGTGATTAAATGCGATTAATCTCAGAAAACCACTCAATTAATCACTATTTCATTTTCTGCGTTTTGACTTGACATGCACAGTTTATTAGTCTCAGATTAAATATTTTCATATTACTGTGTTCAAACCTGGCAGTCAACTCTTTTTTTAGAGTGTGAGATTATCATCCAAAGTTTCATCAAAGCGAAAGATCAATACACACACTCAGAAAAACAGAAATAAAGTGTCTGTACTCAGAGTGTCTTCAGGAGCCTGATCAAATTGTGCATTTAATCCAATTTATGTGCAGGGCTCACTTCATGTGTGAAAGAAGAGATGAAATGAAAGCTTCTGCTGATGAAACCCAAGAGCGCCGTTTGCTCACAGTACAAATGGAGTGGAAATGACTTTTCTTTTTTTCTTTCTTTTTTTTTTGGTGTGCCTCACAAGTGTTCTAATGCGTGGAGATACGGCAGAAAGGATGATTCGCTCCTCTTCGTCCTTGTCCCTCTCTCCTGTCTCTTACCCTCGACTTTCCCATGGCAATTACAATCAAACTTGGGAGATTAAAAACTTAGTGTCTTTTCTCACGCCGAACGCTGATTCAGCACCGCACAACTCTCTCAAAGTCCAATATCCATGGCCTTTGGCTGCTATCAGACAGATACAAAGGTATTGAAGTCAAAAAGCTCCGAAGGACACTGGAGGAAGATCAGGATCTTTACAACGACTTCACCATATCATAAACCAATGGCTGTCCTTTAATTGAACATGTCCAAAGTGTGGGGCGGTGGCTAACCACTGAACTGGGACTGGTTTGACAACTTGTTTTTTTAAGGCCATCAGCAGAATAGAAAAAAAAACTGCTTGTGTAATTTTTAGTAGCTTGTAAAAATACATTTCGGTATCTCAAATCTCAATTTTATGTGAGCATTCTAACCTCAAATAATTATAAACGATACTCCTGATGGTCAGTTTACTCCACACACAGATCCGTCATACTGCATTATTATATTACTGCCACCTAGTGGCTTTATGTCCAATGGTAATATTTTTTATTACTCAACATTCGGAAAGCAAAATTACCTGCCTCATCAATATGAAATTATGTCAAAATGACTGATTATATCGTTTTGAGTTAAATCATGTGTACTTTATCTTTAATGATGACAAATGTTTTGTATTGGTTTGAAACAGATAGACAGGTGTGTAAACCTCCGCTCATTCTTAAAGTCGAGGAAAATCAGCGTGCCAACTCCGTCAATCCATACCATAAAGCCACATCTTTCCTTTCCTCCCTCCTTTCCCTCCGTTTGTAATACACTGGCCTTAGTCCCCTGTTAATGACTGGCTTAACTACACGGCCCAGCAGAGTAATATACTATTGACTTTTTGCCAAGTATTTGCCCATAGACTTCTACAGCAGGCCTGGAAATCCACGTGAAACTGTTACGCTCGGCTGCTGACGACTCCGTGTTCTCTCCCCTCATCTGCAGTCCTCAGTATCTCCATCATCCTGCGGAGAAGTTGCTGATATTTTGTCAGTTCTGTCAGTTCGGCTCCTGACTGATGCTGTCTGTAGCAGACTCAGGGCCCTGGACAGTTCAGACTGGGCTGGACTCTGTAGAGAGTTCTCCTGTCCGTCCTCATTAGACGCCGGGAGATTGACACAAACACCAGACTCTCACCGGCTCGGCCTCGTTCCACGTTCAGCTCTGATGAAGGCCCGCGGACACCAGCCATAATGAATCCCCATTAACCTGGGTCACAGTGGCTGACAGGCAATTTAGGAGATGGTGTTGACATTTTGCAGCGGAATGTGCAGTGGTAAAGACTGAGAGCAAACTCAGATGTTTGTCAAATTTGTGGGGAAAAAAAGAAAGACATCTTATACTTCTTATTTTTATTTGTTGTTAGTTTGTGGACAGTAGCGACAGTATTTGCTGATTCTCTCAAAAGTGGAGACATACTGGCCTCTAGTGGGCAGCTTGTGGACGTGTAAGGGTCTAAATGCTTCATTCATACATTCTATCTCTAGACCTTACGGGGTAAATAATAACCCTAACCCTTTATAGAGCCACATATAGAGACAAACAACCATTCACACGCTCATTCACACATATATGTGTGGACCTTTAGCGTGGACAGCTAACCTAATCCAGCATGTTTGGACCACCGTTACCGACTGGACCTGAACCAGTGATGTAAGGCAAGAGCACTGACCGCTCTTACACTATGTGACCTGTGTAAATGTGTCGTTACCTTTAAATTGTCAGTTCATTTGGATTTTTAAAATATTTTTTAATGACTTTTACGTCTTTCAGGTCACATTCTACTGTTAGCTTTTGGCTCATTATTAGTCACTATTTGGTGTGTTGGCAATAATACAGATTTTTGTTTTTGGCAACTTTCAACTTCTTTAAAATAAAAATGTGGCCACGAACGTTATTTTTAACTAATGTTTACCTACTGTATCCTTGGGCAAATAATGACTTCCCGTTTTCTGCATTTAATCCGCAGACCTGCTTATAGAATTTAAATAAATTACTCCTTGGCTATTTATATCACGTTTTTAAAGCTTTACACCCTGTGACACCTTTACTGACACGTCTCGTCAATAAAACAGAGAAACTGCGTTATGTCCTATGTTCTCTTTCTATATAAACATTTGTCATTACACACAATATGGGGCTCATAAACGTATTGACGTTGCGACAAGGTCGTTTTTACGCTATAAATACATAAACTCCCACCCATGCGATAACAGTTTAATGTTCCGTAAAGACGTTACATGACGTTCCACAGCCGCCTGCTTCCACTATCAACAATTTAAATGATTTATTGCATGTCAAAAGCGGAGCTCAGCGTGTCTCTTAAAACTGACTTGTTCCAGGAAGTGGGACAAAAATGAGGGGGGGAGACTGAACATCTGCTCATCTTCTCCTTCATGGAGAACAAACAGACCATCTGCGTTGCTAGTTTCATGTCAAAAAATTAAGAAACGTTAGACGAAATAAATAACAAGAGAAAAAAAACACTTTTCTCTTTGGAGGTGTTTTTTTCTTCTTTTCTTAAAGGACACAAAATAACAAAAAGTAATTTTACTGATGAGCCCTTTATGCCTTTCGTCCTTTAATGGTTTGATGGCTTTGTGGTGTTTTGATGGTCAAATAAAGGGTAAAGAAGCCTCCTCTGTTCTAGGTCCTCCTCCTTCTGTGGTGACATCATGACAATAAACAGGAAGTGCTGATAGTGAAGCCACATATTCAGTCAGGGGACGTATGCGATCAGGCTTGTTTGTCTTTTTTTTTTTCTGTGTGTGATTCTGAACATGTTCAGTTTACTTCTGCTACCTTTCAGAGTGAATTTAATTTAAAGATAAAGGTAGGAGTTGACAAGTCTTCTGAAACGTTTACGTTGCTGTTGCTCTAGTTTCACTTTCACTTCGATCGTTCTGCCTGGGGGGTGGGTTACAGCAGGACACCATGGCAAGAAGGCTGGTGTTCTCTGAGGAGGACGTCTCCTGCTCCATATGCTGCGACGTCTTTAAGAACCCTGTGGTGCTCAAGTGCAGCCACAGCTTCTGTAAATCCTGCCTGCAGGAGTGCTGGGGCACGCAGGGGAGAAACCGTGACTGCCCCTTGTGCAGAAGCCACAGTGTGGACGACCCCGTGCCCAGCCTCATCCTGAAGAACCTGTGCGACTCCGTCAACAGTCATGGGGAGGAGCTGGAGGAGAAAGAGGAGTTGGTGGAGGATGGCGTTTCTGACTGTGAAATGTGTCCTGTCCACTCAGAGAGGTTGAAGCTCTTCTGCCTGGTGGACCAGGAGCCCATCTGCCTGGTCTGTCACACGTCAAAGAAGCACAAAATGCACAAAGTCTGCCCGGTCAGTGAGGCCATTGCAGACATGAAGGTGAGATCATTTAATCAGAAACACAATTGAAATATTAAAGCTGCACGAAGCAAATCTACTTCGAAATGAATCATAACAAAGGCAAACAAGCTCCTCCCACAAGATGAAAACAAACTGAACCATGTGACTGTTGACCTAAGGCGGCGTCTCCGTGTCTGACAGACGTGTATTTCTTGTTGCTGTTGGACTTGTTCTTCATCATTTCTCGATCACATGTATCAAACTAAAGGCCCGTGGGCCAAATCCGGCTCGCCTCATCATTTAAAGTGGCCCACTAAAGCTCAGCATAGAATATGAGTCAAATGAAAGACAACTTAGTGGTTGAATCGCATCAAACAGATTCAGTTTTTAAATGAATCAGACTTTTATAAAACAAACTTTTGTAAAACAGGCCTTTTGTCTGAAGCAGGAACATACCGTTAGACCTTGTCAAGTCTTAAGAGTTAAACCTCACTGCCATTAACCTTGTTTTCCATTCCTTCGGTTTCTTTGCAACGTAGGCCGTTGTCAATTTCAATGTTGCACTATGGAAGCAAGGTTAAATTCATAACAAAAAAATAAAGACATCTGGTTTGTATTTTTGTTTTCCAGGACAAAATGAAGTCTACCTTGAAATCGCTGAAGACAGAGTTGACAGATTTTGACAAAGTGAAGAAAAACTATGAAAACTGCTTGGCACATATCAAGGTACAGTGCCCTGTCTGTGGACATATGTATAGCTGTGTTCTCGAGGTCACATTCATGCACATGTTTGTTACCAGGTCCAGTCTCAGTCTGTGGAAAAACAAACCCGGGAGGAGTTTGAAAAACTCCACAGCTTCCTGCGTGCGGAGGAGGAGGACAGGATGAAGATGCTGAAGGAGGAGGAGGAAGAGAAAAGTCGAGCGATGATACAGAAGATAGCGGAAATGGACAAAACGTTAGCTTCCATGTCTGCACACATAAGCACGTTGGAGGCAGCGATAGAAAAGGAGGACATCTCTATACTTCAGGTAAATTAATGTTGTTGTTTTTTAAAAGTAGGAGCAAATGAATGGCAATATATACAAAATATATTTGTTTATTTGTTATCTGTATTTATCTTTTTCTCTTTCTGTACTTTTTCATCCTCTTTAGAACTGCAAGAACACCTTGACAAGGTAAAGATAATGTTCAATTTTTTTTATTACATAAGAAATGCATTTTTACAACCAGTATTGTTTTACAGCCTAAACAGCAAAGTCCCAGTGTTGAAGCCTGGGGCTCTCATAGACGTAGCCAAATATGTGGGCACCCTGGCCTTTAACGTCTGGATGAAGATGCGAAATGTCATCAAATACAGTAAGTACAGACAAGTCTTAGAAACCCAAGTAGTCAAAGACTAGGGTGCATGTTTAGCTTGACAGCAATGGTGGGCTACAGTGTCAAACATGTGGCCCATGGACTAAAATTGGCCTACTGAGGGGTTCAATCTAGCCCGCTTGATTAATTTTGAAAGTGAAAAAATGCGATGTTTTGCATTCAATGTAAAGATTTTCAAATAAATGTGTACTTATTTGCATTAAACCAAGGGAAAAAAAACATGGACTTGGAATTATATTTATAGATAATTATGTTATGATTGTACTGATCTGGCCAGTCTGTATGTGGACCCTGAACCGTCTTAGCCTGTCCGACAAGTTGAACTCTCTTCAGTGACTTGGATTAAAACTCTGCTCAAACATATTTCCACTGACTCCATAGAAACTCAAACCGCATTCCTGAGGTTTTACAGGATTTGCGTCGGTGACTAGGAGTCAAACTCAACGTAAACATTTTGCGATGTTTTGTGACTCCACGAGTACTCGAAATAGACGTGACTCTTCTGTGACTCGCCTTGTCACAGGTCAAGTTAGGTTAACTGAAATGAAAGTGTAGCTACTATCTGGACAGAAAACTGGATACTAGTTAAAAGTAATGAAACAAAAGCTGCATTTTTCTGACTTTGAATGCCATCCATCCATCCATTTTCATCCGCTTATCCGTTACCGGGTCGCGGGGGCAGCAGTCGCCACCCAAATCACATTGCACCGTACCAAACCTTCCTGCGGGTGGTGAGTCCACTGGAAGGTACCAACCGCCCTAACCGGGATTCGAACTTGCCCAGGAGGTGAACCCTGGGGTTCCACACCAATGACAGAGACATTGCCTCTGGGCCAAAGCGCCACGACTTTGAATGTATTTCTTTATATTTTGTTATTAACAAACATATCTGAACCAGACTGACAAATGCCAAACGATGACAACAGTCTTCTGTATTTTCCTCAGGCCCAGTCATCCTCAACCCAAACACTGCTTGCCGATGGCTCAACCTGTCAGATGACCTCACCAGCTTCACAGACAGCGACCAAAAGCACAATCTCCCTGACATCCCAGAGAGGTTTGACCCAGACACTGCTGTCTTCGGCCACAAGGGTATCAGCACGGGCACACACACCTGGGACGTTGACCTCGGTGACAACACAGCCTGGACTGTGGGCGTGGCTTTGACCTCTGTCCCGAAGAAAGAAAATGTGGCTTCAGTGCTGACAAACGGCTTCCTGTGTTTGCACTTCCAAAAGAAGCTGTTTGCAGGTACGACTCCTCTGACTCAGCTCCCCCACAACCCAAAAAGGATCAGGGTGAAAGTGGACTGCAACAAAGACCAGGTGTCTTTTTACGACGCACAAAACAGTGTGCACATTTTCACATTTAAGCAGGCCATCACCAAGGTCTACCCCTATTTCAGGTTGAGGTGCAACAAGTCTCCTATAACGATTGAGCCACAGGAGTTTTTTGTGACTGGAGTGTAAAGTAAATACAAAGCCATTTGTTTTTACACCTGTTTTTTCTGTCATTTTGCTCTTAATACTTGGCTTGAAACTCAGATTCTCAGTTAAAGGTGATTTTCTTCATATGTTATCTATCAAATATTTAATGTTTTGCTTTAAAATGTATATACATCTGCAAATCAAAATTAATTAATGGGGATAGTATAGTATATTAACACATTATTATTTGGTTTAATAAAAGTAAAAATACCTCCACTGATATGGTGTACCTATCAAAGGCATCAAGGTTGGCTGATTTCCTTTCACTAGCAGGTCTTAAAATTGTGACTGTGTTCCTTTTATTAACCTTTTTACATTGTGAAAGTGACATTCTGTACCTAGTATGCGAGGACATAATCTTTTTCACATACGTTTTCCTGCACCACGGAGGCTAGAGGACTGCAGGTAATGTACCCGTTGTTTACTGTTATTGCCGGTTTAGCTTCCCAATTAGCCTACGCGGAGTTTCAGGAGAAAGGTTTGACGTGAGGTTATTTAAAATTTGGAAATATAATATTGTTGATTGATGTGCCTAAGTGCAGTCAAAAATATCGTTTCGTCAAAATCCGATAAACAGCCGTCCGTCATCAGTCTGGTAGAACATTGTAGAACATGTTTGGCGCTGACGTTAAATAACGATTGATTTAGTCTCCACAATGTCACGTTTTTTTAAGCTAAAAACTGTCATTGTAGAGGAACGTTTATGTATAATTGGTAAGCTAAAAACTGTCATTTGTAGAGGAACGTTTATGTATAATTGGAGTAAGAACGCGTTTAAAACTCAGATATTGTTTTTGTCGAAACGTAAAAACTTACTTTAAAACCCCAAACGTAAGCAATTTCCTTAAATATTAGTAGGTGTTTATTATTTAGCTTTATACGTTTATTGGTGTTTGTTGCATCATATGGTGTTGTGATTTCTTCAATGACAGTGAATTTACTCAGCAAAAACATAATTTATTTCTATTATCGTTTTTAAATTAATCAGTATACCATCACTCAAAAAATATTAAAAAGTAATATGCTTCATTTGCCACCACTGAACGTTCAAAGTGAAATAAATAAAATATAGAAAATAAATAAATAAATTTAAAAATGTACTGTTTTAACAGAATGCTAAAGGCACTCACATTCAGTTGGTGTTTATCCATTAAGTCTAATAAAAGTGTTTAATAAAAGTAAAGACAAATTGTAATTAAACTGATGTAAGCGATGTAATCAGATGGAATGTATAATCAAGAACACAAACTTGAAAAAAAAAGTATTTTGTGGTTACTAATAAATGATCAAGAAGACATTTCAGATCATTCCATGTTTTCCATCTTATTTGTTTGTGTCCTTTTTCTTTTAACTTTCTTGTTTTTATTCCTGAAGCTCAACAAACCAGTAATACAAATAGATTTAGGATTACATTGAAGATGGCCACTCCAACATCCAGCAGAGCAACCAAGAGGAGCACGTCGGCCGGTGTTTCTGATCCTCCGTCAAAATTATCCAAAGTCACATTTTTGAGTCCAACCCTCATCCTCCTGGAAATTCCTTCTGAAACCAACATTAACCTCCCGGTGTGGGAAGCCATGAGATCCCAGCACATGGACGTCACCTGGACAGTTAACCCTTATAGCATAGGCGTTCAGTTCACCCCCAAGACCTCGAAACCAGGGAGGGACCCTTCCACCGACGCTGTGCTGAATTCAATGGTCTCCTCCAACATCCTGCAGCCTCACATGGTCATCCAGTCCATTATGCCGCATCACGATGTAGACCAGAACACCACTCGCGTCTTGCTTACGTTCTCCCAAAACAACACACAAGTATTACTGGGCCAACCATCCAATATACCTTTTAACTCTGAGCCAGCTGCCTCCCTCGTCCTCTCGCTCCCTCTCATCATCACCCAACCTCCACCTGTCCACTCATTTACCGCTATAACCCCCAGAAGGGGTGGCTTATCTGTCACCCAGCCCACAACGACAAGATCGTCCAAAGCCCCCATCAACTCTTTGTTCCACATTAGGGGTTCCTCTGACATCCAAATCTGTGACGACTTCCTCCTGAACAAGTGTACTGACGGCAAGAAGTGTAAGAAGCACCACACCCCATATCAGTTCCACTGGCAGTTGTTTTGTGCGCTGACCCACGTATGGGTCGACCTCCCCCCTCAGACTCAGGTCTTAATGGAAAAGCTTTACTGCGATGTGGACCAAGACGAGGTCCATATCAAGGACGGGTAAGCAAAAGTAAACAGATGTTGTTTACTGTTGTTGATTACAACTCCTTTTTGCTGATCTACTGTAACCGTTGCAGAAATGATTCCTACACCCTACGCTTTGACACAATGGAGTTGGACAAGGCATACAACTATGAGAAAGTGAGACGACTCACCAACTCGGACAGCGAGGAGAAAAATCCCTACTTCCCCACCAAATGGAGACTATTCTGGTGGAACAGCACCAACTGGGAGGAATATGACAAGGTTTCAACTTTACCTCTTGTTTTTCTTTTTTCCCCCTAAAAACAGTGCATTGCTTTCGACTTCATGGTTGTAACATTTTACAATACAATATACTTTATTGTCATTGTGCCACGGGGCTACAACCAAATTGAGAAAAGCAATTTATTACGTAGTAGTAAGGATTAATTCCGGGGGGGGGGGGGGGGGGGGGGGGGGGAAGGGGAAAAGCCACCCCCCCCGCAAGGGGGGGGTGCAGGAGACAGGGTAATAGCCACTCCCTCGATCAAATGTTGGACAGCATTGAGTGATCTTCTACTTATGTTAACACCACCATATCAAAATCTCAAAAATTTGCTTTTACTTGTTTTTAGCAACCTTGCTCCCATTGGAAGATCCAGCTGTCAATCACAAATGATTGCTACTTATGTGTTGCCGCTTTTCATGCTTTATGGTATATTTTCTACTAAATAGGATCAAAATGTGTGTAATTGGCGGTAGGTTTTTTTCATAGTTTGGTTGTGTAATTTCTTTGTCAAGTGTAGATGTTCTTTTCTTGCAGGACAAGCCAAAAAAATCAACGTATACTGCATTAAAAATTATTTTACAATGGACTATTTTTTTCACTCAGTGAGACCTTAGTCTACTTTTCTGAGGACAAATTTAAGCTCCGCATTGCTTGGGATTACGTTTTTCTTAGGTCGTATCCACTCTACTGCTAAAGAAGATCCTCGACAAGGAACAGGTGTGCAAGTTCTCCATCAACTCAAAGGAGTACACGGTGGACTTCACCACCATGACCCAGACCAGTGCTAAAAGCGGGTTCTGCAGGGGGATTCGACGCCGACCAAAGTTTTACTCCCCTGTATTAAGGCAGTTTTACCATGGGTCAGTTACCTGGACTTTTTACCTGCTCTCATTCTGTACATTGACTTTTGATTAATTACTATATTTGTCAACTTTGAGCTATTTCTGTCTAATATTCAGGAATATTTTCACTATTCTTTATCTTTTTTGCAAACTTTGGAATTTCTGAAGCATTTTCCGCCCTAAAACCTGAAATGTTTTGCTGATCTACGACCAGGTTAGGGATGCTGGCTGAGTCTGCTGATGATCCACCACGTCTGAACTTCAATGTGAACCCGTTTGAGGACTTCACTTCCTGGAATCCCCCAGTGTGGTGTCCCATTCTTGAGGAGGAGGAGGTCAGCCTTGTGGACGTTCCGTCTAGGACACGGGCCTATCGGAGCATCCACAGCCTCTTTTTCCAGAGCCTGCCTGAGACAAAGCTGGACATAATCAGCATCCAGCAGGTCCAGAACCTGTTCCAGTGGGACAGGTACCAAAGGTAATCAGTTCTGTACTAAAATATGCAGTAAAATCTACTGGAACTTTTCAAACAAGCATCAACATTTCTTGTGGTGGCTCTGCAGGACCAAGCTGTTCATGCAGAAGCATCACATCAGATCTAAGGAGCCTCTGGAGAGACACGTCTTCCACGGAACCACCAAAGAGGCAGCAGAGGACATCTGCCACAACAACTTTGACCCCCGCCTGGCCGGCGTCAACGGAGTCTCTTATGGCTACGGCTCGTACTTCGCCATCAACTCCTCCTTCTCCAACACTTACACGGCTCGGGAGGGGCAAACCGTGATCCGTCACATGTTCCTGGCTAAGGTCCTTGTGGGAAAGGTGATCGTGGGGCAGAACATCTTCCGCCGGCCGCCGCCCCTCAACACCAGGACAAAGCATCGGCTCTACGACACCTGCGTAGACAACCTGGAGAAGCCTACCATGTTTGTGGTCTTTGACAGCGCTCAGTGTTACCCTTATTATCTCATTAAGTACAAAGAGATTTCCAAAGAGATCGTTATTTGATCACAGTCATACATCGAATATAGGAAATAGCTGCAGTCGTCCAGCCTAGAGATAAAAGGAGCTAAAAAAAAACCCCAGTGTGGTTTTAACACCTAATGTTGCACTTCAATCTGCGGCCACTCTGCCCTGCTTTTCTTGCTCATTTTTCTGTATATATTTATTTATAATATGAAGTTTCTTTAAACTTTTTTATGTACAACTTTTAGTGAATCCGATCTTTTCTGCCTATGGTTTAGTTGGGTAGTGGTTTTAGGCTAACTACAAGTTACTTTTGGCCTTTTGTACATTTAAGCCTTCTTACTTACCTGACCATTAAGCATTTTTTTGTTAGCTAATAGCCAGCTTTAAGTGGGCTATTTTTTAATTTATTGTATGTAGTTTTATTTATTTTAATTGCCTTTTAATTTATTTTGTCCATCCCGTTATTAAAAGCTTTTTTTCAAAGTATGGGGGTTAAGTTTTCTTTTTTGGACAATGTTTTGTGAGGGAGCAAGGTTAGCTTTACTTTTACTTTACTTTTACTTTTTACTATGTTTTGTCAGTACTAGTAATCTTCAATTTGTTTTTCCCCTCTTTTTTCTCTTATCTGACCCTAAATGCTCCACTAAAGGATTTCTTTCGTAGTTCTCCTAGAGGAAGTAAGATAGTTTCCACTGACTTCCATTCACTGTTCCCTCCTCATTTTTGCTGGATGGCTGCTTTTATTTCTTATATATAGTCTATAGTTGATGTTCATACATTCGTTAACAATCAATTATATTTGTGCAAAGAAATGTGTCCACTTCGGTCGCTGCTCCTGTTGATGACATTCAGTCAGGTTGTGCTTGGAGGCTACAAATGTTTTGCACTTTGTTTTTAAAATATTTTATATTTATTTTGGTTAATTTAAATATTACACATTGATTGAAAAAAAAAACAGTTCATAGTTGGGCCAGGAGGGTTGTAAATTAAATTGACCTGTTCATTGGAGGAAAAAGCAAACAAATAGGTTTAATAGGAAAATATTAAGGACTAGCTCTTAGCATTTTAGCTACATGCTGCAGGAATAAAGTCCTGAATGTGACTGTACTGTATGTTTTTCCACACCTGGAATGTACGCAAAGCCCAAAGTCTGTCACAGTAAAGTTGTACGAATGTCAAAATATTTCATATGATTTATATGTCTTTTTTCACAGAATTTTAATTTATTAAAGATGCTAAAATTATTTTACTAAGCCAACAAAAAATATATATCCCACATTATAAAATTATTTGCTGAAAAGATACCTTCAGGAATAGAATTCTGCTGAGGACAACCTGGAGACAGACTAGGAGAAGATCATTTCATCTGATTGACCAAAACTAGTCAACAGGGAGAGGCTGACAAATCAAAGAACACTGGCCTCAGGAAACAGAGATAGTGAGTACATGCTTTGATGAAGCATAAAAATACTGCACTAATATTACAAAAAGAAAACACAACTGACTTTTCTTAAAATTCAAAGGCAGAGGAAGTGAATACAATATTTATATTTTATTCAAAAGGCATCTACAGTGTAACCATAAACCAAACACAAAGTTGTTAAATTGCCTTTTTATATGTACAGTATGTACATTTACATTTGATTTATTTTTTACATTTTTAAAATGTGCAATTCTGCATTTGTTTTCCATTGTTTTTCCTCAGAGCAACACAACTCACTTTTAATACAAATAATACACGCTCACGAGATAAAAATCACACATTTCGAAACAACACACACTCACAAACGACGAAACATTCCAAATACATTAACGAAAAAAGTAAAGACTATGTCATGATTAATTAGTCGTGAAAACAAATGGCAGATTATAATTAAAAACCGTTAAAAGCAACGCCTCTTGTTTCCTTCTAAACCAATAGATGGCGCCAGAGCAGTGGATTAAAAAACGCTGCACGTTGCAGCAAGGATTAAAAACACAGTCAGAACTATAGTGTTGAGGCAAAATAATAACGAAAAGAACACAAATGTCCACATTTGTGTTAAAAAGGCCAAGTGACGTCTGCTTTGATTTTACCTGTTTATAACTGAACTAATGTGTGTTGATGAATCTACACAGGCTCTACACAACACAAGGAACGTGAGACCATCCCAGTGTCTGCACCTCTGACGAATAATGTTTTTATACAGTTGAGTTTCACTTATAGTTCCTGACATTACACCTGACCTTTGACCTCATTCACAGGCCAACTTGCTGTCAAAGCTGGATAGACCGATGGCGAAGGCCTGAAGAGCACACATGGGGTAGTTGTAGTCCAGGGTAAAGATGTCTTCAGCCACTCGGCCGAACTGCATGACAATGTAGTCAGCTGTTTTGTTTGGGGTGGGGGGAGGGAGTGGGGGGGCAGGAGACATGTGGTGAGTTCAACAAAACAGCAAGTAGTTCAGTTCGAGTCATTTAGGAGGCCAAAAGTTATATATATATATATATTCTACACACATATAAATTTAATTTATTCTCAGGATCTCTAAACAAAAACACTAGACTGAACCTTTTTTGCATCAGTATTGGCCTTGTTCATCTACTTAGCATCTTCTACTATGATTTTCTTCAAAATTCAGAATTTTTTTCCATCTATTATAATTGGATCAAAAGTCTAGGTCTGTTACTGAAATCATGTCACTATATCTCGTGGAGTCTTAGTAAGATACTCACGGTCGTTGTCGTGAACTATTTGAAAGTTCTTGACCGAAGCCTGAGTGACTCGTCCGTGGAAGTTTAGCACGTACGACTGCGTGTCGTCATTCCACACGGGCGCCTTGTTGTGCAGCTCGATGAGATTATCCAGGGAGTGATTCTGCCACCTGCTGAGGAGACTCTCCTGCTCCTGTCACACACACACAGACATATTTACTACTTTTTTACTGCAGTATTCTACATATTTACACTGACGGTGGCGTCACAGAAGCTCAGGACTCACGCTCTGTGGTCTCACTGGGACCCTCTCAAAGTTCATGCTCATGCCTGGGATGATGACGGTCATCTTACGCGGGCCTTTAAATCCCAAAACATTGGTTTCCTGCCATATGGTGCAGCAGAGAGTGTGACAGCGTTAATGTAAATAAATACCCCACACACACTAGGACTAGTTTGGTTTCCACCATCACTCACGTAGCAGATGGCAGCCAGTTCCTGTCGCGTGTTGCTCTCTTCCAGCAGAGCCCCGGGGTTTTTGCAGGGATTGGAGCCATTATCGTAAACTGTGAATTTGGTGCCCATGAGGTTAGACCTGAAGGAGGACATACGGAGTCAAACATTTAAAATGTATATAACAAAATGTACTGTTTAAAAAACAATAATTATAATTAAATGAACCAAGTAAATAATAAAAATATCTGCAAAAAATGTGGAGCTAAAAATGAACTTGAAGCACATTAAAATTGAACCTAAACTGAAGTTTGCGGTTACCTCAATTTTCCGATGAAACTGTCTCCTTCTCGTGACAGATCGGTTGCGTCCACTGAGATCAGGTAGTTGGACGTCTTGCTCTTTTTCCTCTTCCTGCCCGCCAACAGAAACACCTGAAAAAGACACAGAGTTCTCAGAGAACGGACTCGCCAACCGCCTCAGCTCCATGTTTCCGTCTGCGTTTCCGTCAGACTCACCTTCTTCCCGTCTTCTCTCTCCATGTGCATGAAGTAGGTGGGATACAGACCACGGTCCATTCCCTTCTTGTCCCGACTGATCCGACATTTGATGGTGATTCCACGAGGAGCTGGACGCAGGACAAACTCCTCCAGGTTGGTCACATCGATCAGGGAGCTGTCTTGAGTGGGCGATCCGGGCGTTACGACTTCCTGTGGAGTGTAACATACAGTGAATGTACATTTTTGGATTAGATATAATGCAACATGAGTGGGTTTTTTTTGGGAGTTGATTTGATGGAGAACGCACTGCAACGTCTTTGCCGCTGGATGCAGATGCCGGCCGGGTGGAGTCGGCATGAGGGGACAGAGACCGAGTCTGTTCTTCCTCTACATTGTCCTCGTTACCACTGGACTCATCAAAGTTCATGCTCTCGCACAGACCTGATGAGAGAGGAAGTCAATCTGAGGGATTAGTTTAAATTGGGCCCAACAAGAAGATTTGTAATTCCTAATGTGACCACTAGGTGGCAGAAGTGGTTAGCACAAGAAGATCCCGGTTTTTTGATTTTTCGGTTTTTTTCTGCATGTTTGTGGGGTTGGTTTCTCCACATATTCTGGTTTTCTCCACAAAACAACATACATGACAAGCCAAACTGATCATAGGTGTGAATGTGATTGGTTGATCATCTCTACACATTGACCCGTGGTGGACAGGCTAATCACCCAGGGTGAAACCTAGCCCCTACCAGATGGCTCTTACAATTGGCCCTGCGACCCCTGACATGGATCAAGTTGTGAAAGATAAATCCAGGAATGATCACTGTGTTTTTCCACGTTTTTGTCCAGAGATAATGCTGACGTTCCAACACGGTGCAGCTCATTTTAACATCTGTTTTTAATGGGCAACAGGGGGCAAACTGTGGTTATAGCTGAGGTCCATTTATGTCGTCAGAAGACTGCAGTGAAAAGGTTGTGGGGATGAGATGTGTTGGGTTTTAGCCTCACAGTGTTGTTCTTACGTTCACTCTATCTGGAAATATGACTTCATAATAATGTAACATAAAAGCTCATTTTTCCTAGGAGGGTAAAAAGAGACACTGAAGAGGCAGCGGTACAAAAATAGCCACTGAAAGTCCTGAGGAGATTTTACTGCACTCAACTGGGCTGACATTAAAAATGAGGCTGTGCATTATTAAAGGCTTCATCAGGTCTCACAGGAATCGTATGTATTAGACTAGAACTCCTTTAGAACTTCACAAAAATATGTAAAACTGGGCAATTATAGAAGGTTATTACAAGACCGACAGTTATTTTAATGATGGCACTACTTTCCAAAATGTAGTTACACTTGAAGTATTGTTTGTTTTCTTTGGCTGTTAAATATTATTATTTAAAGAAAATACACATTTCATTTGAGTCTGAATCTCAAAAGGTCAGTATATCTAAGAACTAAATAACAAAATAAAGTAAAAAAAAAGTAAAAAGTGATGGGTTTTTTTTTCAATTGCAAACTCTAAATGTTAGTTTGTCCTAAGGGTGGGCGTGGCCTGCAGTCAGGTGATGCTTCATCAAAGTTGCCGCAGCTGAGGTGATGAACGCAGGTGCTGCTTGTATGTCATCACGTCACTCTTCTCTTTAAAAGCAGGAGCTTCACCTCAGAGCTGCAGGCAGTGTGAGGGATGAGGTTGTGGGGTGTATTTCCAGAATGTTAAGATGTAGTCTGCCCAGTTTGCCAGTACCTGTGGTATATGTAATCTTGCACATTTTTTGACTGTGGGAGGAAACTAGTGTATGTGGAGAAAATCTTCATACGTGGAAAGAACATGGAAACTCAATACTGTTACTATAAGGCAACCACAGTGACTGCCATTCCACCTGGAATGGTGGAAATGATCAGGCTTCATGCAGTACTGGACAGGACTCACCTTGTTTCTGCAGCAGTTCGTGGATGTCTGTCTTGGGCTCCAGTAGCGTCTCGGTGTCACTGTCTTTCTCTGGCTCCTCAGGAGACTGAGGCTGGGTTTGAGGCTGGGATTGGGATTGTGACTGGGGAGAGGTATGCGATTGGTTGACTGAGAGGATTTGGACTTTTGTTCCCTGATCTGAAGTGTCTGCACTCATGAAGGCTGCCGGGCCGTCGATTCCTGCAACAAGGATGTAAACAAGTGTGATGCTTCTAAAGATGTACAATTAGGATTTGTGGTTATAAGAAAGATTTAATTCCCAGATTTCCATTAAGAATCCATGCTCGTAGCTTCCTCACCGTCCAGGATGACATCGTTTGTGATGTTAGCCTGAGACTCCACCAGTGGAGCCTGCTCCTCTCCACGCCGTGTCCTGGAGCGCCGAGGCCAAGCCTCTGTGTTGGGTTGGACCATGAGAGGTTCTTGACGCTTCCTGCGTTGTTTCTGCTCAAGCAGCGCCCTCTGTGAAGCAAGAAGGGTAAAGTCAGTACAATTTTTCTAGAATAACTTGTATTGCAAGCCTTAAACTAAACCACAAAAACCACACTGGTCTCTCAGGAGTTAAACCTCTCTCACCTTACACCCATCAGTGAACAAATTAATATTCAGCCCTTTGTGAAGAAGGTCTCTTAAGTATGAGAAAAGCTGTGTTCCTAGGCAGACCTGATTAAATGCTGAATGGCCGGGTGATGAAATAAAGAACAACTAATAAGAATAATTTACATCACAAAAACCCAGAACCACTTCAGGTTCCAGGAAACAGGACATTGTTTTTATTTAAATCATGATTTCTCTTGTCAACACACGACTGCAGGGAGAACGAAGGAAGATTACTGCTGGTAAAAACTAGACCAGGGAAACATTTTATTACAAATATCTGCGTTTGAACTTTGCTACTTCACTGTACAGTGTGCTGCACTGTGCAGTGGTATTTAAAGATAGTATGATTTTCATTGGAGGTACGTGAGTTTGAGAGACTAAAGTATCTTTATTTACACAACCAGAAAGATAAACAACTACTTAGATTGATGCTAACACCGATGGTCGATTAGTCTTCAATTTAACCAATTCCAAATCTGCATGTCATTGGATGATGGAGTACCAACAGAATCTGACACACACACACACACATGAGAGAACTTGCAAACTCAATACAGAAAGCCCATTCTCTGTGCTGGGACGCGAACTTGTCACCTACTGTTTAGTGAGGATTGTTGATGCTCACAGAGCATAAGGAAGATGGTGCTTTTGTAGCTTTTCACATGTCAAGAACTGGATTGAGGCCAATTATGCAGAAAAAGATTCAGACGTAGACAACAAAAAATAATTGTAAAAATTAATTTATGCCCCTTTTCCCTGATACACGTTATTTACACACACTGTGGGGAAACATTTTCATTTCACTTTGAGGCTTAAATACCACCAACTCTACAAAGCTAAATTATAATTATACTTTTGCATATATGTTCTGACATTTTTTCAATAGCCACAGTTGAAAACCTCATGTTATTTGTCTTTTCAGCAACATATCAAAAAAGTTACAATTATCTATGCTGTTTTATCTCGATTAATCACAATCAATCGTGATTATTTCACAGCTCTTCCACAAATAATCAGATTGGAAAATGTAATCGTTTGAAAGACCTAGTTTCTTTAATTAGCTGTAGAACTAATACTAGGTACATTTATACTTTGACCACTGTGCTCTGTCCTATTTTTGTCCTATGTATCCGTGCTATTAAAAACTACTCCCATGCACTGATATCTTTTGTATCACAGACCAGGATGTGACTTCACTGGGGCTTTTACAGCCCCCTCCATTGTCTTCCAACAATGGGAAAATATTAGAGCATTTCAACAGAGTTAACTAAAATGCATGTGCTAAAGAATGACACAGAGAAAAGTTCAAGACCTGCAGAAAAGTCCAGGATAGTTATGATAAATGTCTTTACAAAAAACAAAAAGAATTATTAAAAGTTACAAACCCGCTCCATTGACAGTCTGTAGAAATGTAGACCACAGTGAACACCTTTCTCTTAAGGAATACAATTAAAGGTCCATTCCGCACGTTCACTGATGCTAATCTCGTCTTCACTGTAGAACAATGTTGCGCATTTGTGTTGTCTGATGCTGAGTTTAGGGATCGATAATCCAGCGTCCTCCTCTGTATGACATGTGCTGTTTCTCAGCCAAGAGCTGAGAGCCAGAGTAATTGTGTGAGAGTGTGTGTGCGTGTGTGTGTGTGTATGTGCTGTCACTGCTGCTTTCTGAATCAGTCGTCACTAACACTCCAGAAGGGGAGAGAGTAAGGGTGAATGAGACAAAGAAAGAGAGAGAGAGCGGAGGGAAACAGTGAAGTGCGCTCACATTCACAACTCTTTATTTGTGTGTCTCTTGGATAGTTGTGATCTAAACGGATTAAAAACACTGTAGTGTGAAATAATGTCTGGAAAACTTTGACAGTCAACATGTCACGACCGCTGGTGTCTGATATTTGTAGAAGCTGCCACCTTAACTCAACATCAACACACCACAGCTTCATTCCCCCACTAGGGTCGCATCCAGCGGTCATCAAGATCAGGCAGGTTAAGAGTAAACAATTAAACAAGTCCAGGATGTTACTGGGGACTGATCTGAATAAACACAGACTGGTGACCAGTGGCCACCTCTGGGATTCAAACCACTGATCTCTTTGCTGTAAGGCAGGGGCACCCATCACAGTTCCATGGTGTCAACCATCACAGTCTAACGCCACAGAACTCCCCTTTTAATCTCTCTTTTGTGAAGAAGTGGTTTTGTGATTTGACTCCAGTCACAGAGGAAAGAGAAGAATCTCCAATGAGGCTACTTGGACTCAGCACAACAGAGCTACACACACAAACACACACGCACATGCACACACAAAGCCTGGCGCCTTAACCAAATCCCCATCCCTGTCAACTCGCCAATCTGATTTGGATCTCTCTTTTCTGCATAATGTGTGACAGAAACAAGTCAAGGCTCAACACCGGAGGCAAACAAGAGGTGCGTTATAAGTCGTGACTGACATGGGAGGGGCTTCAAAAGCAAATAGTAAAGAAATGTGTGTCAGAGATAAACGCGTTCTGTAAAATGTGTCACTGCAAAAAATGGAAATGTATGAGTTGGCCTTTAATTTGCCAGTTTTATGCACAGCGCGACAGATTTGGCTGCAAATGTTTATAGTTTTCATAACGTTGGTGACAAACGTGAACATTTTTCTACCTGCTTTTCCAGCTTCTGCTGCATCAGATTGGTGCTGTCATTCTCCATGCCACTGGTTAAGAAAGAGGAAGAGAGAAAAAAGAGAGAGACAACAAGAGAGGTAAATTTTATACATTAAATGTAGTTTTGATTGTTATTCCCTTTAAAACCAGTAGAGGGCATTAGTGCTGCTGCATTTATGTAGTGCTATGTGAGGTGATTTATCTCAGGATTCTAACAGTTCAGTTGGTTGACATCAAGGCACATTTCACACCAGGGAAGTGAAAGAACTTGAGAGAATTAAGACAGGGACAATAAAGAACTAAACTCCAGTTGAGACACTGCCTTGTTCACTGCGTCATGTGAGCATTTACTCTGGACACCTAACTGAAGGTACGGGGATCATGTTGCCTGGATACTGTCAAGAGAGAAAAGGGCAGCAGCGGGATTTGGTACTGTTGGTATCTGAGAGCCGAATGACATCACAACTCATTTCTCAGTAAACCCCAACAGTGCTGGAAACTCATTTGAAACAGGTAACGTAGATATTATTGTGTGCCTCCCTGAGTTCTGAAACAGTGGTGGCAATAATTTAAATTTAAATTTCACATAGAATTATCTTAATATGTGTGCACAGTATGTGTTGATTTTCACCTTGTAGTTGATTTGGAGGAGAAGCTGGCAGAGCTGGAGGGTCTGGCACAGAGGCGGCGATAAGCATGTGGAAAGAAGAGAGACAATATTTGAATTAGATAAATAATGTATGTAATAAAAATAACATTTTGACAACTGGTTGGACTTCACAGGACATGAATTTGGCAGAATTAATGATGATGATGTTGACAGAAAGTAGTGGAGGAGGGAAAATTCATATAAAAATATTAAATTAATTAGAGGAATATTGTAAAAACGTAATTCCGGGACCATCAAAGTGCTTAAACACACACACTGACACACATCCAGGTTGCCTGATGGCAGCTGTTCCTGTGAGTGATCAATGTTTCATCACTGGGTCACAGCTTGGGTGACGAGAGGAGGCCACGCCACCGTTTTCCCTTTCTTGTGTCAGATCAGGGTTACCATGGAGATTCTTCAGCTCCGTCAGCAGCTCACCCTCACCGTCATTGATTAAAACCCTGCCGCCAGTTTCAGTCCAGCTGGGCTGAAACTGGACGCTTCAGAGCTGTGTTATAAAGATTTATCAGGTGACGGGGAGGGGGTGTAATTGCTTCTTAGCTGCACATCATGACAATATTAAAAAGAAATCCCTTCAGACCAAAACGCAACTTCAAATCCAACTTATCAAATGGTTAATAATGAATTATTATCTTATGGTAATTAGGGATGTCCCATATTAACACTTAATATCCCATTCCGATATCAACCTATACATATATAGGCCTAGTAATATTTATCTGAACAAACCACTGAATTGCAGGGAACCAGCATTCTACATACAACACTTTTTTCTTCTTCTATGATTGAAGCAATGTTTAAGAAAGTTATTATTCCCAATTGTACAGTTAATACAGTTAATAATCCAAAAATATTCATCATCGGCGTGCAGAGGCTTTTACAAGTCTCCAGGGTTTTTTTCTTGAATGGGGAATTTTGCCAAATGTGTTACTGCCACTAGTTAAAAGCTCAGTGTTTATACTAGGAAGTTGTAGTATCTCAATAAATGTTACAATTAATTCAAGGTTAACAATGGAGGCTGATGATCTGAGGCCAAAAGAAGAAGAATCGCTCGATCATAAAAGTGATTATATGAATCAAAACTTACAAAAGACAAGTGAAACATTTCATTGGAATATTTGTTAATGAAGATCAACAGCTAATGGACTTCTTACACACGTCTATCCAAATGCCACCAAATACTGAACATTTAACGTTAATTAAAACAGCAGAGCAGATGTACTTTGTTCCGAGAACTTATTACTACAACACATGTTATTATCACAAATGAAAGTTGTAGACTGACAGAGTACATAGATCAATGTAACAGTTTTGTTGTACGTAGGTCTATTGATGGATTCAGTTGTCAACGAAAATTATTTTAATTTAAAAACTAATTTTTTACAACGGTGTCTAACCACAACTTGGGTGAATATTTCACATTTGTGTTTCTAGCCAAGTCAGGCAAACAAAAGACCAACTCTAGTTACAGCATGTGCTGTCACGGCTTGATACACTAAATAAGTAAAGACCTGGTTAAAGAAACTTGAGGCTTATCTTTGACTGCAGGATGATCTGTCAGCTGGCAAGACAATCAAACAGTAACTAGCCATGACAACTCCCCACAAAGTTAGCCAATAAGTTAAAGACCCAAAAAGACCAGAGCAGCTTCTTATCTGAGATAATAAGTGTGCATGTACATAGATACCTGTACGACCAACGGCTGTAGACCGGCTGACTTCCATCATTCTTTAAAGTGTCCATGGACGCAGCTGCAGAAATGCTAGTCCTGAACTTTCCATAGAAGCTCCAGCCTCACAAATGTTTTCTTTCCTGTGTCTGGAGGGTACTGTGCAGTTCTACCCAACAGAAGGATCTGCACTCTCCAGGATCGCTGCTATAATATGTCACTGGAGAAAGAGTAGCTACATAAGTCTGACCCAGGGGAGTAACATCCACCAGTGATGAGGCAAACGAAGGGTTGGGAGGGTTGGGGCTGTTACCATGACTTCACTCTTCAGGCAATGTACAGGGATTCAGCCGGGGCTAGGTATGAAAGTGACAGGCTGAAATGCCAAAGTCGTCCCTGTTTTATTATGGATTAATACAGTTGGATTCATTTTTCTGAGCTGCTGGGAAAATATTGCGTATAAGTGTAAACAAGGAGGTAATGAAGTTAAAGGGTGTCTTTGTCCATTGACCATATTTACTTTTGGATCAGATGTTATCTCCAGTCTCTGTTTTTCCACATGACCCCACACCTGGAATTCAAATGGGGTCACCTGAAATGTCTAGTTATTATTGATTTTAAAGTGATTTAAAAAAATAAAATTATTTAACTATTAATTATAACTATTTTTTAAAATCAGGATTAAAAACACCACACAAAAAATTTATTAATTTTCAGTCTTGAAAGGACAAGCTTGCCTAATTGTAAAAATAAATGTCACTTTGTGCTAATCATTAATCTGGCCACTTGTAAATACAATATAACAAACGTGATAAAAATTTAAAATTATTTCTAGAAAAAAAAGTCTCTAGGGTCAAAATGGGGTCATAGACCAAAAAAAGGTTGGAAACCACAGCAATACAGTTTTTATCTCAGCCACCATAAGTCCCCTTGTCTCCCCACTCCACCCTCCTGGTATCACCGTAGTTTAAATGTTCACTGCAGACCCACTAACCTTAACTTTCTGAGCAACTAACCAGTGACACACAGCTCCCTGTATTTCCTCTGACACATACAGGGACACTACTAATCAAACCACGACTCTGCAGTCAGTGTGGCCTCTGACTTACATGTGCAATACCGGGAAATTGTTCAGCCTAAAATAGCTGAAGTGTGTATGTCAGCAGACGTTGGTCAGACAGTCGGTGTATGATGAAGATATTTCAAACTGCCCCTGTGTCATACTAACAATTACAACACAGAGCACATGCACATACGTACAAAAAAACCCATAATGAAGTCACATCTATATGTTATCGTGTCTAAAAACAGCTGCAGTGTAGGGAGATTGATCTAGTTGCTAGGAGACCAGAGCCCACCCAATCAGCTTCTCTGTGTCATTTTCAGAGAGAGAGAGAGAGAATGATGAGTATGTTTGTGTTTGTATGTCCTAAGAGACACTGGTTTAATGACATAACTCAATGGATGATAAGCTGGGGGATTGTTCACCAGAGGGAGTAATTATCGGGCACAAAACAAATGATGGAAATATGCAACAAGAAATCATAATAATGTGCGGTCCCTTAGAGACGCAGAGGGGCGACAAAGAATTCTCCTACTGCTGTTGCAACCAAGCTCTGGACTGGCAACCATTTGTGGCCAAAAATTTAAAAAAAGCTGGTCGGATAGATCATTTAAAACTCATCCCACTCAAACAAAGCCTTACAAGCACTAGGCCTGTGCAATGTTTTGTTTGAGCAGCTTTCCAATGTACAATGGATGTGGCAGCTGGAGACGTCTTGTGCAATAAGCAGCAACAACATCAAGCTGCCATTGAAAATATGAGTAATGCTGATTTATTCAAAAGTTTCGGGGAGGGTAAACTCACTCTAAATACCACAGATATTTTCTTGGTCTCTTAGAGATACAGAAATGTGTTTGTTACTCAGCTGGAATACATGTGCTTGAAAGTCACTATTGTGAACGGCAATTCAACCAAAAACTAGATCCTGCAGCTGCATCAGTTTACTTCAGGTGGCATAAAAATAAATGTACCATTTACTTTGTTTATTCCACAGCATCGTTCCACCAAGCACTTTATTTTGAAAGATGTTGAATTGAAGAGAAAACCAGTGATGGAGAGTGAAATGGAGAGTGGGAACAGTTTCATAATTACTAATTATTTTTTGTATACACTGTCAAGTGAAGAAAATTGGAATAAAACTAAAAATCAGTAAGCAAGTCACACTTAACAAGAAATCAAAGAATCGGAATCCACCAAAAGATTTACAATGGTGGCCATGTCTAAAACAATGTTACTGTAATCTCAGTAAGAGAGAAAAAACATCTCTAAGATCTTACAGAAACTTAGATAAAACTTCAGAATCCAGCCACAGAAAAAAAAAATTACCAGCCTCCCACTCCCACAACCGCTTGTGTTGCCAGATGAAAACTGTCACCCCTAGATACGTATGTGTGCACTGAGGGTAGTTGAGAGTAAATTTACTCTGACCCCGTAAGAAATTCATGGCAAACTCACACACATATTTCACAACAGTTGTTGTGGGGTAAAAATAAAGGTATACTCTCTAAGTTCTCTCTCAGATGGTGAAACATCTGTGACCTTTGATCACGAACCATGCATATCACAGCAGGGGGGAATGCTTCTGACATTACATAACGAACACGTTAGGAATGCTGTAGTTTTACTAATACTGTAAATATTATCACTATCTTATCTCATCTTTCCTTACAAGACCAAAGTTGTTTTGTTTTACTTGTAATTTTCTTCTCAAAAGCCATTGTAGATCAGCACCAACTCTAAAAAAAAAATTTGCAGAATCAACAGGAAAGGGTGTGAGTTCTACTAATAAGGTGTTGGCAATCATCAAACACCAATACACAGTCAGAACAACACTAATGTGTAAGTGTGTGCATTTGAGGTTTTATTTACTGGATTTGTAAACGCTGTTGTGGGTGGTTAGGTTAACAACCTGATAGGAATGTTTAGACACAGTAAAGTCAGATGCTGTAAAAAGGGCATGTTCAAACGTGACATGCAGACCTTTCTGTTATTCACAGTATTCACTTTAAGATTAGATACCTAAATATACAGAACTAAAAGTCTAGTGCTACGTAGCAAAACTGGTCACCTGGCCTGCAAAAGCAAAGGATTCTAGGTATTTTGCAATGTTCAGCACGTTGCCCTACCCTCACGACAGGAAAGGAATCCAGCGTAAACCCTATTTTTGCAGCAGAACATAAAGACACAATGCCTGCATTTGGTAACTGCAATGTGGGTCATTTAATGCCCAGAATGTAGGTCACATCACACCCAGAAATAAAACTAAAGCGCATTCTCTTCTATTAATAACAGGAACTTGGTGGGTTACAATATCAGGTCAGAATATTAGCCATTTCCTTATAGCCAAATGTAGAACCAATGAAACTTGACTGATCAAATTTTAATATAAAATCACATTTTTTTATTCATATCTGCAGAGCAAATGGGAAAAGTGTTACCGACGAGGATGGGATTCGAACCCACGCGTGCAGAGCACAATGGATTAGCAGTCCATCGCCTTAACCACTCGGCCACCTCGTCCTGTGAGCCCTGCACTATGCCTGGGCTGTACAGTATCTAAACAACAGCCTATAAACTTAGCTTACATCAACCATTAAAAAAAAAAAAACAAGTCGCTTAAAAAGAGGATACGTGTTTTTTCGACATAAATAGGTCAAAGAATACTGTATGGTCAACATCAAGTGCCAACAACATGGGCCACAGCTAGCATACTTATCATGTTCAACAGAGCCGGGGGCCAGGCGTGTGTTTTGATTAGGTACATTTTTTGGATACCATGTGGGCTACTGATGAGTCACACCACAGAAACTGATATAATTTCCTTTTTTTAGTGCTGATGTTCGGAGAGTTGGCAAAGTCAATGCTGCCATTTGTTGTGGCTATTACAACTGACTGTTACGACTATTACAAGAGTGGTAGTGTATACTACTACTACTTCTACTATTAATACTAATAATAATAATAATAATTAGGATCATAATTATTATTGTTGTTGCTGTTTTTGCTTGCCAGAAACATACCACACTTGCATAACAAATAGTATAAAGAGAAAGCTGGTACAGACTATAGGTTCCCTGTTATATTCCTGGGTATCTAATATGTCATAATGCCTTTAGATTTTTTTTGCTGTGGTCGTAATGATTAGTTTCCAGAAAGATGTCCAATATACAAAAAACAACGCAGGACAAAGTGAAAATCCTTAACCTCAGGACTTTTGCCATGTTATTCAGTGACGTAACAGTGTGTAAAAAAGAGAGTGGGTGGAACAAAGGTTGGGTAAAGTAATGGAATAAACTTTAGTATATGGGGAGGATGTGTTGGTTTATGTTAAGATTCCATTTCCACACACAGGATAAAGGATGTTTATATGGAGAAGCCATACTAGACACGGGTAAAATACTAAGAGGTTTCTGAAGCACATATATAAGATGCAGTAGGACTTACGCATAAAGTCGCCCACTGACTTTCTGACTTACGTCATAAAAATGCATTAAAACGACTGCTGACAAAACTAGTCCATTTTCCATCTGTGAAATACAGTAAGCATGTTATTACATTATTGTGTTGTGGCGTATTACCGTTAGGAGCTAGCGTTAGCTGCCGCAACCGTGTCTCCCCCTTTTTTCAAAAAGTTGTGGGCGACACTTTGACTTGTTCACTCTAACACGTTAATTGGATGCTGTTCCTACGTCTAGCCAAATAGAACACATAAAACACACGTAATAAAACCAAAATGCTTCTTCAAGTTACCTTATGCTGTAGTAACTCATGTTTGTTCACGGTTGCTAAGGAAGGTCCTCATGCGGAGCCTCTTCTCGTCCTCTCTGCGGACGCGGTGGAGAAGAGAACAGTGTTCCTGAGCTCCCTAGTTACCGCACACAAAAACAAGAAGTTTTTCAATTGGTCCGCTAGTCTGCAAGGCAGAGGGTGATTGGTGATTTTTAAGGAGCGTGGCTCTGGATGAGGAGCGCTGTTTATTTTGCCTCTCAGTGGGTAGCCATTTACATTAACAGGAAAAAAATAACCGACTGAAATATTTTGACCACTTTGGTTTGTATCACTAATTTATTTATTCCCGTATCGCGTCTGTCGGAAAGTGTATAATTACAGTAACATGATATGTTTAAAATTAGAATATGTTTTCGAATAAAACATGTTTTTTTCCCTATACAGCAGGGGTGTGTAACCTGTGTGGACGATTGTTTATCATACTGACTTTTTTTATTCTGTTAAAAAACGATGCTACGATGTGAGGAAATAATTTATGCATGTTGTTAATTTGCTTACATTAAAAAAAATATGACATCACATGTTTAGAGCCATTTCTCACATTTATGTTTTATAATTCTGCTGCACATTATGATTCTACATTCATTGGTTCATACAGCCAGTATTACTCCAAATCACCAAATCAAACTAGTGTTAATGTTAATGATTATAGTTATGTTTCATGTCAATGAGAAAATATGAATGTGTAATGGAATTCATGAGGGTTAGAGCCATAGAAACAACAAACAAGTAGTTTCTCAGGGCTGGAATCAGAATATTACAATTACACATCATTTGCATACAATCTACACTGTGCAGATGGGTTGATGAGACACTTGTTTCATAAGATTTCATAATGGACACAATAATGTTTTATAAAAAATATACAAAAAAACCCACAATCAGTTGTCTATCAACTTGAAATTAACACATCTGAATCATTCAGATGACCTTGTTCTTTCAGCCGCAACATAACACTTTTCCTCCTCCTCCATGTCACCTTCAATCCATAATCCTCCTCTGGTGAATCAGCTGCTAAAATGTCGGGTGGCTCATTACACGTCGGTGTACAAGGTCGAGCCAGCAGACAGTGTTCAGTTGTTGAGGAGGGACAATTACTCTCTCCCTGTATTAGTTTTGGAGTGTCCACATCAGGTGCTGGGCCAACACTGCTCATCTCAGCGTTGCTAAGGTCAATGGACGCAGGTGTTGAAGTGTCATTTGATTGAATTCTGCATGTCTCCCCTGGAAGTGATGCAGTTCTGAATTGGTCGGTACATCTGCTAAAGGATGCAGCACCATCAGAAACCTTCTCTCCATTTCCTTTTCTAATTGTAGCTGATTTTCTCTTTGGTGTTTCAATGTACCGAGCACTTGAAACTATATTTGTTGTTTGATTCGATTCCTGTAAATTATTTCTCAAATCAAGCTCACGGCTGGCCTCCAAAGCTTTCTTTGAGTTTGTTCTCTTTGGTTGATTACTCTGGTCTCTTGACCTTTCCTGAAATGACAACGAGGGAAATTTGCATACACTGGTTTTCTTGGTAAGCTGAGTTGAGTGATCAAGGATGCTTGTGGTTGATGGGCATTTCCTATTCCCTCGTCTCCCTTTAGGCACAGCTGCAAGAGAAACCGAGTCAAACTGTGGGCTTACCTGAAGAAAAAAAATGAAAACAAATTAATGAAGATAAAAAAAAAACTTAATTTGTATTTATATATATATGTGAATATTTCTTACACACAAACAAACAAAATCGGTCCTGTGCATTTAACCCATCCATGAAAAATGTTTTTGTTGCTTGTTCTACACAAAACAGCCCTTCTCAAGCTTTAAACCCAAAATCCTTCCATGACAAGCCTGTACCATTAAGAATTAAAATAACAAAAAAATATAGAATAATATAGAATAAGGAGCTCACCCACTCATGAAGCGTGGAACTACTGTGTGCCTGCGTCTCTGAGAAGAAGTCTTTCGGGTTGAGGGCTGCTCTGACTTCTGGCTGATTTCGGAGTCTGGCACCACACTGAGGCCGCTGCAAAAACTGCAAGGAAGGCCTTTCTGTCTTTGTGGCCTTTCGGGGCATTAATATGAGTCATTCCTGACAAAGTGATGGATAGAAAGAGGTCAAAAACGTATATTATATAGACAACTATTAGACAGATGTCATTCTCACGTGATCTGGATCCGTTTGTAACAGTACATTTATGAATGTTGCATTGTTAGTACGTACCGTGTAGTAAGCAGCTTGAAAAAGACTCAAAGTTTTGGTTTAGGAAGTGCGGCATATATAATAATAATAATATAAAGGTTTTTACACAAATTCTATCAACGCCGCTAACTTTTTTGTTTTTCTTTCTTTGTATGTATCATTTCCTACTTCCAACATCGTCACCCTCAATTGGTCCTTTCAGTTAGTCCGGCTGCCATTGGGTTAACTTTATACCACGTGATTAGATTTTAGCTGGCCTCTCCCACAAGCTACAGCGCCAAAATTCAAAAAACGTTGCTGAGTAGGTTCACTGTCACGTAAATACGATTGAA